CCTTCCTTAAGCAACTACCAAGGAGAAAAAAAAAAAAAACTTCCTTAAGCAATCAATAACAAGCTTGGAATCTCCTTGGATGATAACAAGCCAATTTCCAAAATCAAGGGTGATATTGTAAACTTCCCAAACAGCCCACGCTTCAGCAAGACTAATAGTGGTAACACCTAAGCAATAGGCTTTAAGATCCATGACTTCACTGTGATAATTTCTAGCAATATAAGCAATAGAGCATAAACCATTGGGGTCACAAGAGGCATCGAAGTTAATTTTAATGGCTCCCTACTTTGGACCCCTCCACTGAATAAATTGTTAAGATTTGTCAGTTGACTGACCATCCATATTGCTGAGGTTGTCTTTAAGATCCACAAAAAAAATTGAGGGCTTTCTCAAGCAAGATAGGTGGGGGTGTCACCTTATTACTGAACAGTTTTTTTCCAAAAAAAAACCATAAAATAGTTACACTCCTTAGTGGGTGCTTGGGACTTGGGAGGATGTGCTTCACTGTCGATCAATGATACATTGCTCCAATTATGCATTGTTATTTGAAAAATATTTCGGGTGGATAAATATATCATTGATTAGGCATTTGAAGTACTTTTTTTATTATTATTTTTCTTGATAATGAAAGATTTTATTAGGGCCCAACGACATTTAAAGTGCTTTAATTTTATTATTAAAATATTTAGTTCATTTTCTTATCTACCTTCTTTTCAATTTAGAATGGACAAAATTTTATAAAGATGAAATATTTAAACTATATTTTATTTGGCCTATTTATGATGAAGACTTTGTTGTTGTTTTTGTCATTTACATGAAAACACATCAAAATGGCAAATAACAGGGTAAAAATATTAGCTGAAGTACATGCTACTTATGCACTAAAACCATAAACTCAAAACTAGGGTCTCAATAGACCATTTTTGGGTTGGATCCTATCCAAATTAATTTCAATTTGTACGGGTTGAAAGATCAATAAGACATTGAATTGGATCAGTCCAAATTTAATGGTCTAGAGTATTTATTGGATTGAATTGAGCATGGTCCATCTGTAATGGATTTATATTGGATTAGGTGGGATTGAATTAATATCTAGTCCATTGACATAAAATAAGAATATGGGTGTCAGTGGACCAGGTTTAAATCAGACTCAATCTAAATTAAAATCAATTTAAACAGATTGAATGATCCAGACATTGAATTAGATCAGTTTATGGTCCAAAATATTCATTGGATTGGATTGGACATAGTATATTTGTAATGGACTTATATTGGATGGATTGAGGCGGAGGATTTCCTGTCCATTTACAACCCTCTAATCAAAACCTTGGACATAATTATTGTGGTGGCGGGGTCACAAGTCACAATAATACATTGAACGCCATGATTCACAGTTTTTAGCCCAGCATTATATATATATATATATATATATATATATGGACAAAGGGTTAGGTGTATGAGTGGGCTTGGCTAGCTTGAGACTTAAGCCATGTTGATGTTTATTTCAGATGATTGTATGATTTTTTTTTTGAATGGGATGGTCATATGGATACTGCTGCATCATATTGTAAGCTGTAGTTACGTGGGCTTCTGGGCAACTTTGGATTTCTTTTCTTTGGTAAAATATAAAAACCTCTCCCGAACATCATAATAACCTCCACTGATGTTTTACTTTAATAAAAGCTTTTCCTCTTGTTTCATAAAAACCTACAATTTTTTTAAGGCAAAATATCATATTTCATTCAACTATGAAACTTACGTGAATGCAGAGTAGTGGTCACAATACCAAGTAAAAAAGTACAGAAATATTGTATGAAAATAGAGAAATGGTAACAATATCAATCAAGAATACAAATCTCTAGAAAGAACAAAATGTTCATTATGGTTGTGGATAAAGGAGAAAATGAAGAACTTCTGCAATATACAAAATGTGAGGCAAAGTCACAAACAAAAGAGATAAATAAGCGCATCTCCAACCATCGAAAGTGGGATAAATATAGTAGAGATTCATCATAACTTTACCCATCCAGAACCATAACCGTCGGAACTTTAATGAACTGGAACTAACTAGAACTTTAAAAGTCTAGAACCATAACTGTCAGAATTGTTATCGCTGAAACTGGAATCAATTGGAAGTTTAACCACCTAAAAAAAGTAACTTTTGGAACTGTTATTGCCGGAAGTGGAACCAATTAGAACTTTAATCACCCGGAACTGATCAGACTGTTGGAACTGTTATCGCCGAAAGTGGAATCAACTCGAACTTTAACCACCCGGAATTGAAACTACCAAAACTGTTGTCACCAAAACTGGAACCAATTGGAATGTTAACCACATAGAATTGTAATCGCCAGATTTGTTATCATTGGAACTGGAACCACCCGGAACTGTAAGTGCCAATGAAATAAAATAAGGAAACAATCACCAATGGTGAAATTCAAAATAGTGATTAAGGCCGCTACCCAACACTCTGCCTCCTATACTAAAATCCCTACAAAAAAGAACAAAAGAAAAAACAAGGAAAAGAAAAAAAGAGAAGAAACAAAAGAGAGTGGAGGATTGGACCGAGCTAATCAAGAAGAGAGAGGAGTGAGGGAAAGGAAGAAGGGAAGAAGAAAACGGAGAAGAAAGGGAGAGAGTGGGAAGAAAAGGAACAACTGAAATGGAAAAAAGAGAAGAACCCAAGGACAACCCCAAGATGGAGACTCTCTCAAAGAAGAAAGAGACGAAAAACCTACAGTTACCTCCTTTTCACCCAGGGTTCAAAATATCGTTACGTATTGGGGCCTTCCCGATACGCCCCTACAGGGGGTGTATTGGATTAGGCCATGATTCAGAGAATATCCGAGACTTAAGATGACCCTTTTGAACCGGTTTTGAGAAAAAAATAAATAAAACATAAAAAAAAAGCACTTATGGGCTAATATGCCCTATCGACATACTGACCTTTATCGATATTTGGAACCTTGTTTTAACCTTTGTCCTAAATAGAGAGTTGAGACTTTAAAGTCAGGAAATTACCCTTACAACTTATTAGGGTATTTTTTAATATAATTAAAACTGTCAGATTTATCTATTTAGATTTCAATAGACCTAGTGTTTTTATAGAGTAAAATTACTATTTTTGTTTAATTTTACTCAAGATTTTTTAATTAAAAGTGAAAATTCTTTTGGATTATTTGAATAAATCTATATATAAATATATAGCTATAAGGATAAAATGAATATTTTAAAAAACTTAATGTATTTGGCAAATGTTTTCTGTCCAAGAGTCCATCACAATAATAAAAGGGAGGTAACTTCACGTTTTAAGAGAGGTTTTTGTGAAAATAAAACCTCATATTTTTATAAGAGGTTTTTCTATTTTACTCTTTTTTATTTTTATATTTTATCATTGTTTTTTCGCAGACTTTGGTTTTCCATGTCGTTGGTTGTATTTGCATTTTGTAGGGGTGTTCATGAGTCGAGTTGGGTCGGTTTATTGGGGTTTTCCCAACCGACCCGACTTGGTCGGGTTACCTGAGGTGGAAACCGAAACCGACCCACTGGTAGGCCAAACTGACTTGGTCGGTTTGAGTTGGTTTGGGTCGGTTTGGGTCGGTTTCGGTTTTGCTCTTGTACAAAAGGACACCTAATTGAATTCTAATTGTAATTGCCTAATGGGTTGCCTATTTGGTGTAAAAGATTATAGAAAGTTAGAAACTATGATAGATTGCCTATTCTAATTGCAATTGCTTAATTGGCCTTCTAGTTCTAGTAGAAGACTAGTTATAGTTAAGTAGGAAACTACTCAAACTAGGAACTACCGAACTAGTAGAAGACTAATTCGGTTCGGGTCGGGTTGATTTCGGTTTTCACACAAGAAAACCGAAACCGACCCAATATATCGATTTATATATCTTCCCAACCTAAAACCAACCGGTACTAATGAAAACCCGACCGGCTCAGATTGGATCGGTCCAGATTGGGCATTCTTATGAACAGCCCTAGCATTTTGTACGCGTGTGTGTAAGACGCCAGGATTCGTCTATTTAGCCACGTGATACAATCACGTCAAATGCATATTTCTGGGAAATACGACAAATTGATAATTTCAAAAAACATCGTGGTTAAAAGTAGTAGTAATACTACATGTCCTATTCACTGCAATTATCGAGGATCTTCTATCCATTGGACGGTTAGGATTCGTCTTCCACCTTGCACGTGTAGTAAAAACACTCGGTATCTGCTGCTCTACACGCTGTATACAACAGGCTACGTAACCAAGAGGAGTAAACACGCCGGTATGGCGGCATCATAGAAATTTATGGACTGGACACGTTCACCCGATTACCAAAAAAAATGACACGTTCACTCAATCACGCCCATATTTAACTCTGTCAAAAGTGTAAATAAGAAAAATTACTATTTTATGCTATTCTCATGGTAACGTGGCATTTTCAAAAAAGAACAAATCCTAATCAAACAATGCGTACACCGAACCCACCAAACATATTCTAGATTTACGGTGAAGGATGAATTCAGAAGTCATAACTCATAAGACTGACAATAAAAAAAGAATTCAAGCTTAGCGAAACTATTGGGATGGATCTGCTTCCCACAAAATCCTCCGTTGCAACAATGTTCATGGTGTAGATCCACCACAAGACTGAAATCGATCATGTATGAGATGTGCGGTGTCAATCTTACTGTGAGCGTATTGAAACGTATTTTTGGGGTGAACAGAGGAAAAAAATTGGAAAAAGAACGCAATTATGTTGTACTCATTCCGTCATCGGCTCCGAACCGCCGCCGCGACTGGGAGGGAGTCAAGGGTTTGGGTAGAATTAGGTGAAAGACCACAAAATACGACCAGTGATTGGTTTATTGGCGTTAATTATTTGGTATAGTTGAGAGCAAATGACCAACATTACCCCTAATCGCCTACCAATTCCCACTTGTGCATCTTCTTCAGTCTTTCCTTCACTCGCCCCGCACAGCCGCACTGACTCTTGACTCGACTCGTCCTACTCCTACCTACCCACCACCTTCCTTTTTTCCCCCAACAACCCGCGCCACAGACTCTCCCCCACCCACCACATCGTTAGTATAAAATCTCTCTCATTTCTTCTCCCGATTCTTCAGGGCCTTCTTCTTGCACTCTTCATCAATTCTTTCTTCCTATTTTGATCTTTAAAGCACAGAATCCAGAAAAAAGGGGTAAAGTTCTTGAAGAAACAATGGCTCTTGCAAGCACATCTACTCTCTCCTCCAAATCTCTTCTACAGTCTCAATCCCCTCTTCGTTCCTCCAACCCTCAACATTCCTCTTTCCCTCTCTTCCCCAACAACAAATCCATCTCCAGATCTGCCAAACCCATCTCAGCCGTCCACGCCGCGGAGCCCGCCAAGAACCCCGTCGTCGCAGACAAGCAATCCAAGTCTGCCGCTTCTGCCTCCACCACCATCCCCCCAAAGACCGTTCCCGGCAAATGGACCGTCGATAGCTGGAAATCTAAGAAGGCTCTCCAGCTCCCTGAGTACCCAGACAAGCAAGAGCTCGAATCTGTTCTCAAGACCATCGAAGCTTTCCCACCCATCGTTTTCGCTGGTGAAGCGAGAAGTTTGGAGGAACGCCTCGCTGAGGCTGCCATGGGTAGGGCCTTCCTTCTCCAGGGCGGCGATTGTGCCGAGAGTTTCAAGGAGTTCAACGCCAACAACATCCGGGACACCTTCCGTATTCTTCTCCAGATGGGTGCCGTTCTCATGTTCGGAGGACAAATGCCTGTCGTCAAGGTTTGATATTTTTCCTTCTCATTTGCTCCTCTTCATCTCTTGATTGTCTTTCTCTCAAATTGAGATTTTTCTGGAGAACCGCGCGAAGTTGACCGACGATCCGGGCTTTTATGGTTTAGGTGGGAAGAATGGCTGGTCAGTTTGCAAAGCCAAGATCGGATCCATTTGAGGAGAAAAACGGAGTAAAACTTCCGAGTTACAGAGGGGACAATATCAATGGGGATGCTTTCAATGAGAAGTCCAGAGTTCCGGACCCACAGAGGATGATTAGGGCCTACTGCCAAGCCGCAGCTACTCTAAACCTTCTCAGGGCTTTCGCTACTGGAGGTTACGCTGCCATGCAAAGAGTTACTCAGTGGAATCTCGATTTCACTGAACACAACGAACAGGGAGACAGGTATTCATACGACTCTCTCTTTATCTTCATCTCGGTGACTCGTCTTAGCCTTTTTCCTTTTGGGGATTTTACTGTCGATTTGTCTTAAAGATCATATAGATTATTAGTCGAATCACGGGTTGCTATCCTATCACATTTCAATCTGCTCCCTGCTTTCTGTTGCCCTAGTGTTTTTGAGTTTGGAATTCGTGGACTCGGGCGACACAGGTGGTTCTTGAGAACCGCAACGAGCCGGATTCGTAGTGGTAATTAATTGGATTTAGGATGAGGTTTTAATTTAATTGTGTTTAATTGGATTGAAACAGATACCAAGAACTGGCTCACCGGGTTGATGAGGCTCTAGGGTTCATGTCTGCCGCTGGGCTCACGGTTGACCACCCGATCATGACCACAACCGAGTTCTGGACATCCCACGAGTGCTTGCTTTTGCCCTACGAGCAAGCACTGACCAGGGAAGATTCGACCTCTGGCTTCTTCTATGACTGCTCTGCTCACATGCTCTGGGTTGGGGAACGCACCCGACAACTAGATGGTGCCCACGTCGAGTTCCTGAGAGGAATTGCCAATCCCCTTGGCATCAAGGTATGAGGAGACTTGTATTTACCCTTCTATTTTTCCCCTTAATTAATTACTCTGCCCTAATCCCTGCCCATATTTACAAATTACCAAAGTTTGAGTCAGCGTCACTGCCAAAATCGGTCTTCTTGGATTTTTATAATAATTGGTGGCTGTTCTACTTTTATGAAACTCTTTATTGTTAAACTCGGTCAACTTGTCCAAATTCTGAGTTGCTCAGCAACTTCGTTTGTACTTTGAATGCTTTGGGTGTGAATTTTGACATAGTCTTTATGCATATGAATTAGACATACATATGTAGTATTTGATTGTCAGGTACTACTACTGTATTTGTTTATTACTCTAAATTTTTTGATGGAGGTTGAGTAACTAAAAGCAGGTAATTGCTGCTTGTGATGCAGGTAAGTGATAAGATGGACCCCAACGAGCTAGTGAGGTTGATCGAAATCCTGAATCCTCAGAACAAACCTGGTAGAATAACGATAATCACGAGGATGGGAGCTGAGAACATGAGAGTGAAACTTCCACATCTGATAAGGGCGGTTCGCAGAGCAGGCCAAGTGGTCACCTGGGTTAGTGACCCAATGCACGGCAACACCATCAAGGCTCCTTGTGGTCTCAAAACTCGCCCCTTCGACGCAATCAGGGTATGTCTATCTGTCTCTTTTTCTGATTGAGATTGGGCAGTTACCGCTTCTCATCCTGATTCCTGAAGCCTGAAGTTGAAGGCCAGGGCTCCCTAGTTTAAGTTTAATTGTTAATTGTTGGGCACTTTGGCAATTGGCAGGCGGAGGTCCGAGCATTCTTCGATGTGCATGAGCAAGAAGGCAGCCACCCCGGAGGTGTTCATCTAGAGATGACAGGTCAAAACGTGACAGAGTGCATTGGAGGGTCAAGGACTGTGACCTTCGACGACCTAGGCTCACGCTACCACACCCACTGCGACCCAAGGCTGAATGCATCTCAGTCTCTGGAGCTTGCCTTCATCATCGCGGAGCGGCTTAGGAAGAGGAGGATTGGGTCGCAGCCCGTCATCGGTTCCTTGGGGGGGCTGTAGAGTGTAGGCTAGGGGGTCCATTTGTTGCTTCTTTTCCCTAATTACTGGCACTTCTCTAATATTTTCTTGTGTTGGCTTTTGAAATTAATTTATATGTAATTGCATGCATGTAATGTAAGTATACTGTAAACCTTTATGGGTCGAGACTTTTTTAAATATATGAGAGATGAATAAAGCGAAGGCTATTATTGGTTTCAATTTCAAACAATTAAATTCATTCAGAGGTTCTTTCTCTTGGCCTTGCGTGAGACTGGTCAGAACATTTTACATTTTAGCACCCCATCCAGCTAGAGCAAGGTGCGTGTTCAACAGAGAGATTATTGACTGAAAACTCAGACCCGCGATCTTTGAATCTCAACTTCTCATCCGATATATACATGCCAAGAAGGAACAGATATATTTATTTATTTATGGGAGATATATTGTTGATTGGAAGCAGTGGCCGGCTGCTGATGGGATTGGCTGTCCAACAGGTGACGTTGCCCACCAACCAACTAATTGCTAATTCTAGAGGATTGGTGAGGTAGGTGGTAGAGGTAGGTTGTCTATGCTTTAAGGGCTTGTTTGGTCACGTGTCCCCTTCTCCACCTAACACACATATAATCAATCATAAGAGAGAGAGAGAGAGTAGTGAACAGTCACCATCAGGCGATGAGTTCTTGGTCCATTGCAATTTCGAGTCCGGATTTCCTACTAACTTCCCTCTAGTCCCCTCTCTACTAACCCATTAAAATTATTCCAGCTGTCTAGTGTAACGATTGACTAATGCCTTAATTAATCCCTCCCTTAAATACTATTTTAAAGAAATATTTATTTTTATGCATTAATTAAATATTCCTAAAAATAAAAATATAATAATTTTGCTTTACGAGGCTTAGAGAATTAATTTACATATAATTAAAGAGAGAATGGGAAATTTGCATATAATTAAAATAGATATTTCCATTTTTATTTCTTTTCTATGCCTAGTAAAGCAAATTCATACATGGAAAAAGAGTTAAAAGGGTGAGCAAAAAAAAATTGAAAAACTGAACTGATCAAACCAAAAAATCGGTTAATTGAACTGGTCGGTTTGGCATTTTAAAAAAATCGAAGGTATCGGTTTAGTTTCGGTTAACTAATTTAAAAAACCGGTAGTTAACCGAACTGACTGGTATACATGTTTTTCTATATCTATATGTTTATGTATATTATATATATTTTATACATTATAAATTAATAAATACGCATTATATATATATAAATATATATATATATATATTTATAATATATTATATATTTTTTTATTATATATTTATATACATTTTTATAATAAATATTATAAAGTCAAAAAAACTGAAAAACCAATGAACCAAACCGTCGGTTAATCGACTAATTTCGGTTCGGTTCTTCCAAAAACTGATACTATTGGTTCGGTTGACAAAAAAGGCCCACGGTTCAATTACCCGAACCGTGAGTACCCCTAGTTACAGACCACCCAAAATTATTATATTTTTATTTTTAGAAATATTTAATTAATGCATAAAAAAAGATATTTCTTTAAAATAGTATCTAACGGAAGAATTAATTTAGGCATTAGTCAATCGTTACACTACATAGGAGTTAGTGACAGCTGGAATCATTTTAATGGGTTAGTAGAGAGGGGAGTCGAGGGAATTTAGTAGGAAATCCGAAATTATGTAGCTATAATCCGGAACTTCCACAATACGATTTCAGAGGAACTTACTCCTTCGTTTAATAGACGCTAAAAAATGAAAAATATACACTAAAAAAAAGTAAAACCTCCCCTACTAGTTGACATGGAATTGTTCTAGGCGTATATTTAATTAGAAGAACTGAATACTGAAATCCTAAGCCATTTTCCACAAAAATTGTATTTGAAACAAACTCAAAATCTTATTTAGAAGAATTGAATCAGCATTCTGTATACCTAAGGTTGCTGCTTAGAGGGTAGGTAAGTAGAAATATATTAAATTAGGGAAAAAATGAGCATACAGTCATCTACTTCGATGGTAGTCGAGAAAAGGAGGGGTATCTATCTATCTTTGACTCTGGAGCAACAACCGAAATAAAAAGTATAGGATTTTTATGTTCACCTACTTCTGTTTTTATGGGTTAGGTTTATCTACTTCGATGGTCCATTCTGATACTTTACCGTATTAAACAGTGGATGGAATGTATCATGTAACCAACTCCATCTCTCATCTCATTGACGGGGATCTTTCGACCCTTTGGAGCTAAAGGGCAGAGCAAAAGTCGCTATGGCCAATGAGCCAAGGGACCCGGTTTCAACCTTCAACGACTAGGGTGGTGACGTAGTGTGTTAGCTTTGGGTAATTAGTGCCAATGCCATCGTTGATATGTTGAAATTTCAAAACAAACAAGCGACTGTCAGTAATCAGTAGTCAGCAGACCAACGGAGATCATGTGGAAGGATACTCATTATTCAATTGGGTTTGGAAGTCAAGGCAGACACACACCAACCAAATCTCCCAATCACAATTCAGAAACTGCACTATGGTACCTACTACTACTCTGGCGTTGTGGGTTTAACTTGTCAAGCTCAAGCAAAGCAATAGCAATTGCTCCTCACACTCCACGTCTCCCAACTGAACTAAAATGTCGAGACAAACACGGCAACTGTGCATCAGCTACCGGAGTTCATCCACGTTGTAATGCAGCTTGCACCACGTGTGCATCCAGTCAAGGATGTGTCAAATGGATCGGTTCACCTCAACCATAGAAACGTGTCATTTCCAACCAGCCCCAACCTTTTAGGATTGAACCTGATCCCATTTCATCCAATCGGTCAAATGGATCGGTTCCCCATTTTTAATTTTTTTGAATTTTTTATTTTTTTTTTTATTTTATGTTATTTTTTAAACTGTACTTTCCCAATAACCTAAGGCTATGTTAAGTTTGAAAGAAAATGTAGGGAAATGATCAAAGGAAGGTTTTTCATGCCTTTCCCTTCCTTTCCCTATCATTTCCATCAAACCAAACCCAAAAGTAGCCTAAATAATATCTTCTCCTAAAATTTATCTTAAACTATCTCTCACTTTCTACAGAATTATCTCTAATTCCTGTTTATCTTCTAAATTATCTCTAATTCCTATTTTTATCTCCACAATTATCTCTAATTTAGTAGAGAGTTTCTCTCCTAAATTATTTTTGATTCCTATTTATCCTCTCCCCTACTTTTTATCTGTATCTATAAAAAAAGTTTGGATTAAAAATATTTAAGAATTATTTAAATATTCTAATAAAATTATAAAATAACTTTAAAATATTTATTAAAAACATAAAAAATAATTTTATATTTTTACAAAATATATCACGAAATTATGTACTAACATTTTTAAATTATGTTTTTTTCGAATTATCAATTTAAATGATTTTCGAATATTTAATAATATGTGATAGCTTTAAATAAATAAATAAATATTTTATAGATTATTTAAATATTTAAATAACTATATATTTATCATAACTATATTTTAAATAGATAAAATAATGAAATTATCTAATAAATGATTTTATATTTTTACAAAATATATCACGAAATTATGTACTAACAATTTAAATTATGCTTTTCCGGATCATCAATTTAAATATTTTTCAAACATTTAATAATATGTAATAGCTTTAAATAAATAAAATTCAAGTAACAAAAAATTTAAATATTTTATAGATTATTTAAATAATTAGATATTTATCATAACTAGATTTTGAATAGTTAAAATAACAAAATTATGTAATAAATTTAAAAAATTTCTTTAAAGCAGAAAAATAATTATAACATAATATTGAAATTAATAATAATTTAATATATTACAAAATTAATAATGAAATTATGTAATAATAGTATAAATTATGATATTATGGATAATTAAATTCCATAAATATCTAATATTTAAAATTTAAATATTTTACATATTACTTAAGTATTTAAATAACTCAGTATTTTAAATAACAAAATATTTAAATAGTTAAAATAAAGAAATTATGTAATAAATGTTAAAAAAATTCTAAAAAGTAGAAAAATAATTATAACATAATATTGAAATTAATAATAATTAATATTTTTGCATAATATTGTTAATAACTAATTTCACTTATATCAAGTAATAATTCGAGAAGATAACTTTCACAAAAATTAATATTTATCAATAATAATTTTAAACTCTTAATCTATATTTATTATATAATTATATATACTAAAATTAATATTTATTGTATTTCAGTAATTATTTAATGTGTTTGTGAAAAATGTATTTTCGATGATTTTGTATAAATTTATTTTGCTTTGTTATTTAATAGAAAACTTTCAATAGTTATTGGAGATTAAACTACTATTAGTGAAATTTTTAAATTTAATTTATTGTACTTATTGTATTTTTGTTATAATTTATTGATTAATATTTATTAGAGATTAAACTATTCTTTGAGATTATACTATTTATTGACCAAGTTAATATATTTTTAGTACTTATTGTATTTTTTCATTATCAATATATTTTCAATAATTGTATATTTTTGCTATAAATTATCAATAATTACTAGAGATTAAACTATTGTTGTTTATCAGAGATAAGACTATTAATTTAGCTAAAATTATGAGTGTTCATGAGTTGGTTTGATTCGGTTGTAGGCTATTTGGCCAACCAAATTGACTTGGTCTGGTTGGGGAGTTGGTCAGCTAAAACCAACTAACCTTTTTTGAAAACCGACCCACTCAAGTTGTATCGGTTTGGGTTGATTTTTTGGTTTGGTTAGTCGGTTCAAAAGATTTAAACTTAAAAATTAAATTAAATTTTAAAAATTATAGTGCAATTATTAAAAAAATAAATTTAAAAATTAGATTTATAATATAAAACTTTTTAGACTAAGAAATATGGGAAATTTCCCACTTTTCCATATTAAAAATTATATTTAAAAAATATTATATATCCATGGTTAGGTTGTTCGATTTTGGTTGGTTTACAAATGGCCAAAGTGAAATTGACCCAACTTGGTCGAATTGGAAAATTTTTGAACCAAAGCCGACCTAAAATACTAGAAAACCAACCAACTTGGGTTAAGTTGATCGGGTTGGTCGGTTTCATCAGTTTGATGAATAAATCTAACTGAAACGAATTATTGTTATTTTTGTATTATAAAAAATTATTAAAAGTAGTATATAAAATATAAATAATTAT